GTCTGTGTGACTGGTCTGCGTGACTCATCTGTGTGACTGGTCTGTGTAACTGATCTGTGTGACTGGTCTGTGTGACTGATCTAACGACTAACGACTCACCCCGTCTACAGGAAGTAAAGAACCACGTCTCACACAGACTACAGGAAGTAAAGAACCACGTCTCACCCCAACTACAGGAAGTAAAGAAACACGTTTCACCCCGACTACAGGAAGTAAAGAAACACGTCTGACCCCGACTACAGGAAGTAAAGAACCACGTCTCACCCCATCTACAGGAAATAAAGAAACACGTCTTACCCCGTCTACAGGAAGTAAAGAAACACGTCTCACCCCGACTACAGGAAGTAAAGAAACACGTCTCACCCCGTCTACAGGAAGTAAAGAAACACACCTCACCCCATCTACAGGAAGTAAAGAAACACGTCTTACCCCGTCTACAGGAAGTAAAGAAACACAACTCACCCCCGTCTACAGGAAGTAAAAAAACACCTCACCCCGTCTACAGGAAGTAAAGAACCACGTCTCACCCCAACTACAGGAAGTAAAGAAACGAAAGTTACGTATGTAACTACGGTTCTATGAATCCCGGATGACCGCCAGAGGGCGGTGCTGAAAGCACTGAATGTTCCCTTCGCTCATGCGCTGATTCGAGTAATAATACCAACGGAGTCACAGGTGTGACACAGATGACCAATCAGAGGCTATATAGCCCGACGTCATCCGCTGCTCTGCTCCTACAGAATCTTCTCGTGGAACGCAAGGATTCTGAGTGACGGAGAAGCTCTGGCGGTCATCCGGGATTCATAGAACCGTAGTTACATACGTAACTTTCGTTCTATTTCATCCCTCCTGACCGCCAGAGGGCGGTGCTGAAAGCACTGAATGACTAATACCAACGATGTCACAAGGAATCCTAAACACCTACCTCACTGAAGAGGCCCAGAGGACCCTTGTAGAAGAACCTGGCCCAGGGGATGAGGGGTGGCCACGTTAACTCTATAAAATCTGGTGAACGTGCTTGGGGAAGCCCATGATGCAGCAGCACATATTGCTTCCAGCGGAACCCCTCTCAGGGCAGCCCAGGAAGCGGAGACGCTCCTGGTAGAGTGAGCCTTCAAGCCGACCGGCAGGGGGACGGGCCCAGCAGCATAGGCGTGGCAGATGACGTCCACGATCCAGTGGGAGAGGCGCTGTTTGGAAAGAGGACAGCCTAACCTAGGGCCTCCATAACACACAAACAGCTGGTCTGAATGTCTTATCACGGCAGTAGCAGCAACGTATGCCTCCAGTGCCCTCACCGGACACAATAATGCAGACCCCTCACTAGGCGCAGGCTGAAAACGTGCCAGCATCAACGGTTGGTTAGAGTGAGAGTGAGATAACACCTTTGGTACGAATGCAATGTTTGGCCACAAGGTAACACACGAGCCCTCAGGGCCCCACCTGAGACATGAGGGGCTGATTGAGAGAGCATGTAGCTCGCTGACCCTCTTTGCTGAGGTAATAGCCAACAAAAAAGCCGTCTTACATGAAAGCCACTTGAGGTCCGCCTGCGACAGAGGCTCGAAAGGAGGACGGCACAGAGCTTCAAGAAACAAGGGAAGGTCCCAACCTGGTGCTCGTGGAGCTGTCGGCGGGTGTGACCTACGGGCACCACGCAGAAAAAGAGAGACTAGATTATGGCTCCCTACCGTACAGCCATCAATGCCAGCGTGATTAGATGATATTGCCGCTACATAAACTTTAAGCGTCGAAGGACAGCGACCCTTACCAAGTAGAGACTGGAGAAACTCCAGAATGGTGGGTATTGTACAGGAGACTGGATCCTTGTTGTGATCAGAACACCATTGGGAAAACAGGCGCCACCTGTTTTCGTACTGCTGACGAGTAGAGGGTGCCCTGGTGCCCAGGATGGTGCGTCTGACGGAGCTCGAAACTCCAGTCAGCTGCTGTCCTAGCCTTGCAGTGGCCACAGCCGAAGACGTTGAGGATTGGGGCGCCATATCAGTCCCCCCAACTGAGACAGCAAGTCCCTTCTGGTCGGAAGACACCATGGGACGCCCTGACATAGACTTCGTAGCAGTGGGAACCATGGTCGTGCTGGCCAATACGGAGCCACCAGCAGCATCCTGTGGCCCTCCTCGAGGACTCTCTGAAGGGTTGGCCAAATTAGAGAAAGGGGTGGAAAGGCATATAGGAGGACCCTTGGCCAAGGATGAGCCAATGCGTCCTGGCCCCCGTAGGGAACACTGAGTCGACTCTTCCGTCGCAAACAGGTCTATGTCTGCCTGACCAAAACAGTCCCAGATCATCAGCACTATGTCGCTGTGGAGGGACCACTCTCCCGGAGGGGACCCTTGGCGGGAGAGAAAATCTGCGACCTGATTGTGTCGCCCTGGCAAGTATGCTGCCCGCAGGGTGGACAGGCGAGGAGAGGCCCATTCCAGGAGCTCTCTGGACACCCTCAGAAGTTGTGCTGACCTGGTGCCCCCCTGATGGTTGATGTGGTAGACAACAGAGGTGTTGTCTGACCGAACAAGTACATGCCTCCCTTCCAGGTGAGGTAGGAAGTGCCTGAGTGCCAAGTGCACTGCACGCAGCTCCAGCACATTTATATGCTTGGAATGGTCTCTTTGACCCCAGCGGCCCTGAACCGCTCTGCGTTGCCATACAGCCCCCCATCCCATGGAGCTGGCATCTGTCGTGATCACTTCCCTGCGACACACTACCACTCCCATGGGGACACCCCTGGACAAATAATCTCCGTCCCTCCATGGAGTCAAGGCATGAAGACATGACCACGTCACTGCGAGCTTGCGATGCCTGTGCAGCCTGGCATCCAGGCGAAAGCTGTTGAGCCACCTCTGCAAGGGGCGAAGTGACAGCAGGCCTAAGGGCACCACCCGAGTGACTGATGTCAGCTTGCCAAGTAGTTGCAGGAAGGCAACATAGGGGAGCTGCCTGCCCAGCCTGAACCGATTGACCAGCTGGAGTATGCCGGCCACCCTTTGAGTGGATGGGCGAGCTCTCATGGAAGATGAATCCAGAACCACCCCAAGAAAGGTGGTCGTCTGGGAAGGGACCAGGCAGCTCTTCTCCAGGTTGACATTGAGGCCCAACTGGGACATATGAGCGAGCAGGCGGTTTGTGTCGTGAAAGGCACAGGCCTGAGACGGGGCGCAGAGAAGCCAATCGTCTAAGTACGGCAGAATCTTCACTCCGCAGGCCTGCAGAGGAGAGAGGGCTGCCTTCACGCACCGAGTGAACACCCTTGGGGAGAGAGAGAGCCCGAATGGGAGTACCCGGAACTGCCAGTGGTGACCCCGATAGGCAAACCTGAGAAAGCGGCTATGTTCTGCTGCAATAGGCACATGAAAATATGCATCCTTCAGGTCTACAGACGTGAACCATTCTTCCCTCATGACAGCTTGAAGGACTTCTGCTGTTGTGAGCATGTGGAAGGGCAGCTCCTTTAGGTACTGGTTGAGTCCTCTCAGGTCTAAAATGGGACGAAACCCGCCCGTCCTCTTTTGCACAAGGAAGTAAGTCGAGTAATAGCCCCTGGGTTGTTGCAGGAGGGTCCACTGCCTCTATTGCGCCCTTGGCCAGGAGGGCGGAAAGTTCCTGGTCTAGTGCTTGAGCTTTCACCGGGTCGGCGATTACAGTCATCTTGACCCGGCATGAGATACGAGGCCGCCGTCGGAACTGTAGCCGGTAACCATGGGTCAGAGTGGCAACCACCCATGGGTCCACGGCGTGAGCAACCCAATAGCTGCGCTGCTGGTGGGAGAAATATCCGACGGTCGGCCTGATGGCATCACCGTCTCCCTCCACGGCCGGGGGGCGGCAGCCAGAGTCCCTGGTACAAGCCTGCCCAGCTGGTCGGTGGACCGACCCACAAAAGCTCCTGCTGGGCCTTTGCTGAACTGCATGAGGGTAAGGACCACCCGGCCGGTTATGACCCCCAGGCGGCGGCTGCATGCTGGAGCCAGCCGACAGGCACCTTGGATGCCGAGGAGGTGGAGGGGGCATTGGCCTGCTAAGGCTCGAAAATTGCTGCCTTCTCTGTCGTGCCTGGACAGTCCGTTCCAGTGCTTCCAAGGCAGCCGAACCGAACAACTCCCCCGGCACCACTGGGACATTACGGAGGGCTCTACGGCATGGCTCAGTCAATGCTGACTGCGCCAACCAGACCTGTCGGCGAGCTTGGACCAAGGAGGACATCACGCGCCCAAGCTCCCTCATCATTAGTGCAAAGGCCTGAAGCGCTGCATCGTTAAAGCCCATTGCTGCTGTCGCACCACTAGTCCCCTGAAGGGACGCGGAGAGGGCAAGCATTAGGTGTGCCAAGGAATTACCTAGGCGGCCAGCACGCGCTCCGGCGGCATAGGCTCTGCAGAGGAATTCATCCGTGACACGACACTGAGCTCGTGGGCACCGAACATGACTGCGCAGAGCTTCTTCTGATGACACGATGAGAGAGGCAACAGCAGGTTCTATCGCTGGCATGCGATCCAAGCCTGCTGCAGCCGGCTCATGCATGGCCGCCAACACTCTGCCATCTGCAGAGAGGCGCGCAAAGGCTTTGGGGTCCCGCCAGCAACCATGCAACTCCCCCAGGAACTCCTCTGATGGAGGGACAGAAAAGGAAGGAGGGGTCAGTCCGCGCCTGAAGAAGGCACTTCCAGGGGTGGACGCCTCTGGTTGCGGGACGTCCAGCTGCAGTTGTCTCAGGGCCATACGCATGACGTCCTGCATCGAGCCGTCACCCGACCCACTAACTGCACTCCGAGAAGAAGAGAGTGAAGCTGTCTCTGAGACTTGAGATGAATGCCCGTCCTCCTCACCTAAAAAGTGAGAGGCAGAGGCAGCCAAGGATAGCACATCTTCCTCCACAGCCAGTTCATGCACGGTTGCTGCCACTGGTTCAGTTCCCAGTTGGCGTACCTGAAAAAGGGACTTCATCTCCGCTAATTCAGCGGAGAGCTGCTCCACCCTTGTGGAGAGGCCCCTATCAGACCTGGCTCGCTTCTTCCCAGGAGGGGCCACAGAGACTGCGGCCTCAGTCCGGCGCTTCGAGCGCCTAGGTGGAGCCTCCTGCCCAGAAGGCGGGAGGTCATCGCCGAGTTTGGGGCGAAACTGGGCCAGCCGGGCCACCCTCACAGCATGCGACATGAAGCTGCAATTCATGCAGGGGTTCTCTGACAGGGCATCCACCAGATGGTCATGTCCAAGGCAGGCAGGACACAGGTCGTGACCGTCATCTGTCTGGAGCATGGCTCCACAGACTGTACAGCAGTGAGAGCCGTCCATGCTCCTTACCCAGCTATGCCCAAGACATTCAGAGAGGCTAGCACCACTAGCTCAGCTGGTAAAAGAGGACAATTGGGAGAGGGGGCGCAAACGCTCGCCTTCACCAATCAAAACAAGGCCAAAACTCAGAGAGGCTAGCACCGCTAGCTCAGCTGGTAAGAGAGGACATTTGGGAGAGGGGGTGAGAACACTCGCCTTCACCAATTAAAACAAGGTTAGAACTCAGAGGCTAGCACCACTAGCTCAGCTGGTAAGAGGACAATTGGGAGAGGGGGTGAGAACACTCGCCTTCACCAATTAAAACAAGGTTAGAACTCAGAGAGGCTAGCACTACTAGTTCAGCTGGTAAGAGAGGACAATTGGGAGAGGGGGTGAGAACACTCGTCTTCACCAATTAAAACAAGGTTAGAACTCAGAGAGGCTAGCACCACTAGCTCAGCTGGTAAGAGAGGACAATTGGGAGAGGGGGTGAGAACACTCGCCTTCACCAATTAAAACAAAGTGAAAACTCAGAGAGGCTAGCACCGCTAGCTCAGCTGGTAAGAGGACAATTGGGAGAGGGGGTGAGAACGCTCGCCTTCACCAAATAAAACAAGGCCAGGAACTCAGCTGGCTACGTAATAAACAAACTTCGGAGCACCGTCCAACCGACCACGCGGTTGGAGGCCTCCAGTAAACAGGAGCGGAGCGAACGCTACCGCTAACCAATAGCAAAATATAAGCAAAAAACCACTACTCACCAGTGTTAAATCACACACATAGTAGTCATAAACAACGTCGGAGCACAGTCCAGCCGACCACGCGGTTGGAGGTCTCCCAACAAGCGTGAGCGGAGCGAACGCTACCGCTAACCAACGGCGAAATATAAGGAAAACTACTCACCGGTGTTGAATCACACACACAGTAGTCAGACGCTGTAATTTGGGAGAGGCGGAAACCGCCGTAGTCCCCAACGAAACAGCAGAAATACCTTTGAACAGGGTTAAACCGTCGCAGCCCTAGGAGGGCGAACACGCTACTCCCGCAGACGGGCAGTCGGGCTTCCGACGACGGTAAAAAGTTCAGAAAAGGTCCAAAGGGCTGAAGCCCTGAATTGAACCGCGCGCGAGAAGAAAATAGGAGCAGAGCAGCGGATGACGTCGGGCTATATAGCCTCTGATTGGTCATCCGTGTCACACCTGTGACTCCGTTGGTATTATTACTCGAATCAGCGCATGCGCGAAGGGAACATTCAGTGCTTTCAGCACCGCCCTCTGGCGGTCAGGAGGGATGTAATAGAACACGTTTCACCCCGACTACAGGAAGTAAAGAAACACCGACTACAGGAAGTAAAGAAACACCTCACCCCATCTACAGGAAGTAAAGAAACACATCTCACCCCGTCTACAGGAAGTAAACACCTCACCCCATCTACAGGAAGTAAAGAAACACGTCTTACCCCATCTACAGGAAGTAAAGAAACACTTCTCACCCCGACTACAGGAAGTAAAGAAACACGTCTTACCCTGTCTACAGGAAGTAAAGAAACACATCTCACCCCGTCTACAGGAAGTAAAGAAACACCTCACCCCATCTACAGGAAGTAAAGAAACAC